TGTGTAAATACATCTAAATGCCACTTCAGATGCAGCTTCTGTGTTTCATCTGCATTGCAAAGATGAATTTTATTGATACTGATTTAATTTGCTTGGTAACAGCCCAAATGTCTTTTTATTCTAATTCACTGATTAAATATAAGAATTTGACTTAAAAGATAATGCACACTTAGAAAAATGGCTCTATAAAGGGAAAAATGCCCATAACAGGTAAAAATCTATTTAAACTTATTGGAAAAGAGTCATACACTGAATATGAGGAATATCAAAAACCTTAGGAGTCAGCTGTCCACAGTAGTCCTTAAGACACCAGCACAATAACACACTCAGCAAAATATCGTCTAATTATCGTTATCGATAAAATCCCAGAAAATATCGAGATATTATTTTTTGTCAGACTCAGTATCGCACACCCCTACACTTTATCTACAAATATCTACAAAAATTAAAGAAATCACTTAGCACATAGCACAACAAGTCATTGATTAAATTAATGAAACTATAAAAGTCATTAAATAAAGCCCAGTCAACCTTGTCTTATATAAAAGAGCCCAGTCAAAACTAAAAACACATTTAATAAGATCTGCCAAATATCCCCAGAAGCCTATTCCTTAGAGGTTCTAAAAGCATTTTTGCAAGTATATCTCCTCAGATTTGTTTTTGCTCTGTCGTTAATATTCTGCCCTTTCAGCAAACAGAACGCTTCCTATTTATGTTAGGACTTAAATCCCTGCTGAGTCCCAGACGTAAGAGCTACCGACAGACTCCATCCTGCTGTGCTCCTTCATGATATCACAAAGCTCACGCTGAGAACTAATGTACGCTAATCTCATGTTGTCTCTGAATTAGTTAGAATGAGGAATGTCTCGACCTGAAACCATTTATACTTTGTGTCATATATGCACTCAAATCAAACACTGACTTTCCACACTGACAGCAGCTCTGAGAAGTTCCAGATGAAAGTCTTTAGTCATTGCAACTGGAGTAGATAAACCAAATATTGACTACACTGTTTGAACGAACTGATATGATTTCATACAGTCAGTCCTAAACATTAGATTCAAAAAAACAAATCTGAAACACTAGCAGTGTGAACAAAGCCCAGATTATGGAAAATTCACCTTGGATGGAAAGAACTCCTAACAAACCTCTAACATTTTACAACAGCAAAAGACAACAAACCCTCAACTCTCTAACGAAGCAACGTCTACGAGAACAGTTCCTTCATAAAATATAAATGCAATTTATTTTACAGAGACAACCTAATCTCCCTTTCCTTGCAGAAACCTACTTGTCAGATCCATAAAATGACAGAAAAATGTGAACCGTTATGCAACACTACTATTACTGGGTCAAAGGTCACACCAAAGATCCTTAACAGATCTACAGAGGATTGCTTTGAGGAATAGGATTCAAAGGAGACTAAGCCAACTAACTCCAATTAGATCAGGAAACCTCATGTGATCCTCCATATCGACAAGGAAAGTAAAAAGATGAGTCAGATTTGAAACCAATTCAAATTCTGATCTGATTCTAAATCTCAGTTAGCTGGTCATTATCACAAAATAAACCCCTTATACCACCGTTATAACACACTGACTGTACATTATTATGCTTATTAGATGGTCATTCACCAAATAAATAGATATAAAATACTGATTTGGATATAAATTATTTTATAACATGAGAAGAAAGACACCACCAAAACTAAGAAATTGGTTGCCATGTACAACAGTAAATTATTAACGGGCATTATGCAAAAATAATTGAACTGCAGAATGGCACGAAGTCAAGTAGGCTACTGCAGAAAGCCATGTAATAATAAAGAAAATTCCCATCGCCACGGTCACATTTACTGCCGCTCTGCTAAATTTTGCAGACAAATTTCAATAGAAATCACTCACTTCACTTGTGTTTAAGCTGATGAAATCTTGCATAAACTGTTTTAATGTGACCGCGCGTTAACACTTTATTCTTCAACAAACTAAATGCACACAAACTAATTCTTATTAAACACTTATTCTTCACAAACTAATCTTAAAACTCATCTTTGATAATCAAAACGACATATTTAAGTGTTAAATGAAAATAATTTCTTCACGTCTGGCCTCAATATAAATCTACACCCTTATCTCATTTAGTTTACACAGAAGCATGAATATGCAAATTAGTCCCCGCCTCCACTCAGTCACACACGGCTCCACATTCACTCGGCTAACTGAAGTAGTAAACGCTACACAAGTGGCAATGTTTTGGTTTAATTCAGCCATGTTTGAACCAGAAACTGATTCCAAAGAGGAAGAGTGAATTATACAGGGCTGTACAAGTCGATCTATCAGAATGCTAATTGACTTTATGTATCACTCTTTACAATGCTGGGAAGATAATTGATATCATTAGCCTTTGGTTTGACTACATTATCAACGAGCTAATAATGTGCGGCTAATGTTAGATAAACCATGTCTCAGTTCGCCATCTCAGACAGCTACCTTTGAAAAATCATCATCCTTAGGTAGAAATGCTTTGTTAATTATATGAAAAGCCCCCAAGTTGAAGTGATTCCACAAGTTGAGAGGATTGGTTACATGGTTGCGACGAAAGGAATCAGGGGAGGTTTTCAAACCACATTTCTGGGACTGTCTTTGGTACACAGCAGTTTTAAGGAGAACATGCTCAACAATAGTGTTGAATGATGAATTTGCACATGGTTTGTCTTTAAGCATATTAAAAACACCAGATAGGCATGTAAACAACGTTAAAAACTTGATTTTCACAACAGGGGGTCTTTAAAGAGTTACTTCTTAGACTACTGCAAATAGTTCCCTATAGTTCTAAACCTTTGCTAGATGTAATAACACAATGTGGCTCGTGGCTCACAACAGAATTGTATCCCGCATTACACTGTATTTTAAGCATTGCCAGACAGCTAGAGAAGTTGGCAGTCAAATCCCAGAGGCACAGCGCCAACCCTCAAGCCCTCAGGTTTGGCCGCGATCACTGAATCTTAACAGTCAGTCTAATAAAGCGCACTCGTGCTCCTTCCTTAAATCTAATGTACAGTTTGATTTGGCAAAGTGCTGACGTTTCTATTTACACTTCACAAAAGCAAGCTTCATGGGACTGCAGGAAGCCAAACTGGGGAGCTAATATTTAGAGACAATTATATTTGATTTCTGTTTTTATCGAGTATAATTTCTGAAAGATGGTCAATTTATTTCGTTTCAAACATGTGGAGCGGCGGTCAGGCAGAAGTCAGCCAGAGGTTTACGGCTCTGTTTTTGAATTTGACCCCATGTGAGCATGCGGTGCATTCTTCTGAAGTACAGCATATGTTAGATTAGACAAGCTGTTAAATAAATGTAATGGATCAAACATAAAATTACACATATAAACAACATGCATGTTTTAAAGGGCCAGTATAACTATAAAGTCTAAATAGATTACAAATGCTGAGCTAGTCTAGGTAAACTGAAAACCTGAAGTGGTCAAATGCAGCCTGAAAAGTGTGGTAGAAAGAGAATTAATGCCATGACATTGGTCCTCGACTCTTAAAACTCCTAAATTGATGCATAGACTTTTAACATCTGGGAGCATACTTGAAGTAAACGGACCTGTTGTGATACAAGGTTAACACATTGTTTAATAAACTCCTAAAGTTAAGATGTATTACAGCATGCAGTATACAAGGACCTAGATAGTAAATTCACACCTGAAATCATTTTTAAATAACTGTTCATCTGAACCATTTTGCAATAAATTTTGCATTTATATTCAGTTGTCAATGTGATTTTTAGTGTTCAGAATAAGTTTACCATCATTTGATAATTAGACTTCTTTACACTACTCTTTTTGAAAAGTAATAAATGCACATAAAAGCCAATGTGCCTCTAATATTTTCTTATCTAATGCAGTGAAATCTATAGCCTACATTAAATCTGGCTTTAAGAGTCCAATTAGTGCAAAAGCCTGAAAAATCTAACAACAAAGCTCACATATACTCTGTATAATTTACATATTCCTTGAGATTGCATTATATCTATTATATCACAAGCCGATAAATACTGCAAATAACTGTTAAATAAATGTAAAAATACTTTAAAAAAAGAGACGTTACAGCAAAACGGCAGGGTATTAGATATAGCAAATATCGAGAATATAGCGCTATTATACGACTAAAGTGCGATTCAATAAACCCAGTTTATAAACCAAAGTGGCAGTAACTTTCTGTCTTTTTTAATCCCATCATCACGCGCGTTCAACAAAAACGCGTAAACGCCGTGCACTGATGACGTCACACAATTGCGCGTAATTTAACTCATTAACGGGAATAAATTAGCGAATTACCTTTCTTAATGTGACTGATCAGTTCACCAACAAGCGTTTTAATCCGCGTTACTATATCGGAGAGCAGCTGAGTTCTTACCGTCAGAGTTGGAGAAAGACAAAAGGATCGCAAACCGAAGGGGTGGATTCAAAGATGAGGATTGATGAACACTGTATTATTATCCCGAGTAATTCCTGGTCTCGTGCATGCACTGCTGGATGATCCAGAGCTCCCAGGCAGCTCCTCCCTCCTCCATCAGTGTCCTTCAGAGACCTTCCAGCCCACCTCACACACACACACACACACTGATGCTTCTGTGTCACCAGATAACATGCCATATACACAACAATGCCTCATGCAGTACAGCCTATTAACAATTACATCATCAGAATCTATCTATCTATCTATCTGTCTGTCTGTGTCTATCTATCTCAATATTAGCGGACATTTGTGCATAAATGTATCAATGAATAATTTTGAGGACACATGCAAAGAATTAAATTTGACCCTGGACCACAAAACCAGTCATATGGGTTAATTTTTTGAAATGGAGATTTAAGCTGAATTTAATAATCTTTCCATTGATGTATGGTTTGTTAGGATAGGACAATGCAATCAGACATGATTATATTTGCATATATTTACTTTAACAACTTCCAAATTAAATGCATATAGACTGAAAATCATTTTAAAATATATATATTTTACAACAAAGTCGAAGCAAAGGTCGTTTGAGCATTTTCAGAAAGCACAGTACTGAATGCAAGTGTTTATTTAGCTTTGAGCAGTGGAAGAGTAAAATACTGTCAATACACTATTAAAGATCGTATTTCAATTCTCAGACACACAGAGTGGACCTTTCATTGAACTCTGTTGCCTGAGCATTTCCAGATGATATACATAAAAATATCACAAGCAATATTGTTCCTAAGGATATATTTACGGTAGGAAATTTTGCAAAATGTCTTCATGGAACATGATCTTTACTTAATATCCTAATGATTTTTGGCAT